TTGTTGGTTACAATAATACATAAATATTTGGTCTGAATCCTAATTTCGTGTCATTTTAATGAGGAATTTCTGATGTCCTTATAAAGAGAAAACCTCAAATTATATTTGAATATTGAGATTTCCCAGCTAAAAAGAAATAAAACTTTGCTAGCTCACAGGGAAAATCTCAAAATTTTTAGGCGTTTTTCCTCAAAATCGGGTTTTTTGTTGCTGCTGCTCAAAAAAGTGCTTAAAATTTTTGTTTTATGATTATRTTTCAGACAGTTCATTCAAATGATACACAGATAAAGGCATTTATTCTTTATGTTTTGACAAAATGCAATTTTTCTTAACATTTTAGTCAAAACACTATATTTGCCCATTTCTCCATACACCACTTTTGGACTTGATCCTCGTTTCGATGTGATGGGTCAACTATCTCCATGGTCGCGGGTCCCCACTACAGGCAGCCGCCATCTTGCATCGCCATCTTGTCTACGAAGGCTCATGAMGGACAAACTGCGGTGGCGGCGTCAAAAACAGTTTTAGTTGTAATACAATAAATGTAATATTTGTTGTCTGTCATTGTAGCTGGGATAATTTTACTTATTAATCTTACCACTTGAAACATCACTAGCCCTGAAGCTGCTGGTAGACATCGCCGTTGGATTTATCAAAGGTTTTTGACACCTGAGAGACACCGTAGCAACTACTTTGCGTTTGGAAGCGGGGGTGGGGGTGGGGGGAGGACCAGGGAGGATGATTCAACCACTCAACCACTAGATGTCACTGAAAACAACAAATCCTACACACTGTGCCTTTAAATCTTGAGCAGTTAGTCATTTATAATTGAGTTTCTTTTTTGTTGTGGTTGTAGGTGTTCGCCGACTATGAGAAGCTGCTGCATTCTGAAAACTACGTCACGAAGCGACAGTCTCTGAAGGTTAGCCTCCGACTCACATCAACTTGAGCGTAACGGTTAAAAAAACACCATAAAACCTTTTTTTAAATCTCTCCATCAGCTTTTGGGTGAGTTGTTATTGGACCGACACAACTTCACGGTGATGACGCGTTACATCAGCAAGCCTGAAAACCTCAAGCTGATGATGAATCTGCTCCGAGACAAAAGTCCCAACATCCAGTTCGAGGCCTTCCACGTCTTCAAGGTACTCACCGTTTTTCAGTTTGGGCTCACTAAGAATGCAATGACATGACTAAAAAGATCCAAAATGCTTCCCCCGCTGGCTGCTGTGTTCAGGTGTTCGTGGCGAACCCCAACAAGACGCAGCCCATCACCGACATCCTGCTCAAGAATCAGACCAAACTAATCGAGTTCCTGAGCAACTTCCAGAAGGATCGCACGGACGACGAGCAGTTCAACGATGAGAAGACCTACCTTATCAAACAGATCAGGGATCTGAAAAAACCCACAACCTAAAAACAAACAGAAACAAAACATCCTTTCTTTTCTCTGCCATATCTTTTTATTATTAGAACAACATAGAAAAACATTAAGAATATTGATTATTTAAGAAAATCTTTATTTTTTTCTCTGTTGGTTTATTAAAAACTGGTGCAAGAGTAGGTCATAATCATTGACTTTTATTTTGTTTTGTTTTTTCAGAAATCCTGTTTTCATTTGTTTTTCCATCTGTAGCATTTAGTGCCACAACTCATGGTGTTGTAGGCAGCTGATTTGATTTGTTGAAGAAACCAGCAGTTAATAAAGGGATAGTTTGAATATTTTGAAGGGGGACTCTGTGGGAAAGTTATAAACAGTATCCTACCTGTTGTAGATAGCTCTTTGAACAGCCTCAGCTTGGGGTTATGGGATTAAAGGGGCTGTCTAGACGCAAATGTTTTATCATTTTCAGCCTTACATCAACACTGACATGCTGTTTCAGGAGCCTGAAAACCCTTTCCAGGGTGAACTCGTTTTTCCCTCTAGCCATGTGAACAGCCTAAATGCAAACTTTTTAAAATAATGATGTCATAGCCCCACTGCTAACTGAACTATGACCTGAGGCGTCCGTTTCTTGTACAATTCACACCCGGTGTGCGAGCATTACACAAACACTCATCGCCTTGTTTCCTGTTTGTGTATTTTCTTAGCAGCGTTACAGCACCACATACAGACCTGGCATAATTACTGCAGTGTTTTGAGTTGTTTTCAGTGTGTCCGTGTGGATTAAAGTCACTTCATAAAACTGCCCTGTTCACAAGGACTAGAAAATTAGAGACAAACTGCGTTTCTGTGGAGATCAGATCTGAGTGGAGCCAAAGTGGATTGCTGTTGTCTTAAGACAACTTCAGTCTTAAAAATCTCATAGTAACTCATGCAAATATTTATATTGCTGTCAGTTTTTCATTAAAAGATGCCCCCCTAAACTGCACAGGAGATGCTACAGCTATCTGTTGCTGCAAATAACCAAGTTCAATCACTGTGAAATGCTAAGTTTGGGTTGATGAAATAGAATTTGCATGAATAGCTATGAATTTTGACAGGAGTTCCACCCAGACTAGCCATTAGCTTGTCAAAACTGAGCTGTTCAAGGAGCTATATACAATAAATAATGTTTTTCACAACCTACAAACAGAGAAACACTTCAAAACATCTAAACTGTCTTTTTTAGAAAGCTTTGGCCAAAGTGGTCCAGTGGCTGATGGGTATTGAAGTTTTTAATCTACATTTGCTCTGCTTACAGTTTAAATGAGGTAGATGCGAATCGTAAAAAATATTTTTCTTTATATATGAGTGAGGGAGGGTAGGTATGTGTGATATTGTACTGCCAAAACCAGTGATTTATTCTTCTCTTTCCAAAACTGAAAAAAAGGCGTCCTCCAAACAATCTGAACTCTCAACCAGGAAGAGAAAGGCTTCAGCATCAATCTGTGCCATTTTAGTAAATTATTAGTGAGGTATGATTTCACGCCAAAAGAAATCGCCAACCAAACAGTTCATTTTAACATTTAAGAGCCTTTTTTTTATTTCACTGCGACATCGGTACGTTAAGCTTCGATCATGCTAATCACTGGTTCTCTTCGCCAGTCGCTAACAGCACTTTCTGTATAATAAACACTAACAAAAACAAAAACGAATCATCGGTTTTCGCAGTGCTTTTATATATAATATAGTTTGATTTCTTGCCATGTACAGTGAGTGGTATGTAAACCTGAAGAAAAGCTGAAAAAAATCTGCTTAGTGTTTTTTTTTTTCTTATTTTGCTCCTTTTCTGATCTGTACTGTAAAAAACAAACCTTTTGATTCGATGTTGGTTTAAAGAAAGGAAATATTTGAAGATTCAGTGGTGCCTTCTTGTTTAGGTTTTTTTTCCCCTTCTTTTGTTTGTATTTACCGTCTCTTTCTTGGGGGAGCTTAATTCTTATTATGTTGATGAAAATATGCTCTGAACAGAACATATTTGTTTTAATTAAGCAATGAACCTCTTGACTCACTATATTTGAGTTACGTTGTCCATGGGGATGTTTGTACACTTTTATTTTTACCTTTATTTGATTTTTTGCAGCTCATCACTTACCACTGCTGTAATTTTTTTAAACACAACAGTGAAAACTCAATGGAATTGCGAAACTGAGGCCAAAAGTCTAGGGAGCCGTTGGTGAAATTGTGGCGTTAATGAATTCTTGATAAAATGACACGAAATGGAACAACAAGCAGCTGTTCAGGAAATAAGATAAACTATGAATTTTCATTAGGCTTTTTTGTCTATGATGGTAAAAAAAAAATCAAACAGATGCTTGTCTTTTAGTTTTAACATACGAGATGCAAATATAAACCAGCCAGCTTCATGTCTATAATGCCGTTAATGGGTAAAATTGGGAAAAAAAGAAGATACTTTAAAAGCAGCCACCAGATTTCCCCCCACACTGATGATATTGTACCACACTCACTACAAATAAAACGATGGGAATGCATTCTCTGAGTGTTTTATTTTTATTCATCTGTCCATTGGAACTTTGTTTTCAGACAGAAATGCAGTTTTTGTTATTAAAATACGTAAGTTTGACTCACAAATCTATGCGTTAAAAGAACAAAAAACTGTTGCACCGACCAGAGAAAAATAAAACCAGAAATAAGACAAACGGAACACGTCTACATGCAGGAAGTTAAATCTTCAACACAATAAATTATAATCGCAACACTTCTGCTACTGGTTTGGTTTCTGCCTTCATCTGTTTAAAGCTATATTTCTTTACCCTTACCAACAAGTACTATACTTTAAGTACATGTCATCAAGTATACTAAAGTATTTCCCTAATAGTTTAAAATTAGTATACTTAAAGGATACTTACATATACTACTTTTTGGTAGGGGATAAGAATGTGATGGTGGCCTTTATCCACGCTGAAATTAAAAAGGTTTTATGCGAGTACGTTTTAGCCGGGATAAAAACTTTCCAACATTTCTTACGGTAACAAATTTCAAAATAAAACTGGAGAAATGCGGCAGCATAAAGTGCAATAGTAAAGTTCCTTTTTTATTTTACTTTTTAAAAAAAAAAAAGTATTTTTTTGTTGTTTCACATCAAACAAATCATAATGTTTGTAGAAAAATAAAACAAATCTACACATTAGTTTATTCTAACCCTTCTATTACCATGTTTCTTCATTCCCATTCCCTCGTTCTGTACGTTTAGAACGATCCACTTCTCTTCCACCCGTACCGCCTTTCTTTACTGCATCTGTCCCGAGGACAAGGGAACCATGGGTGCCGAGGGCGCCACAGCACCCTCTCGTTGAGGATGCRAAATAAAATGTGTCAAAAAAAATAAATAAAGGAGAGCGTAAATGTGTATATGAATAAAAACATAACGAGTGTTGTGCACGTTTGTAATCCAGATGTTTTTTGTTTTTTTTTGATGAGAACATCCATCCGTTTGCTTTTCGGGTCGCTTCAGGTCCCTGTGAGAGAGTTGGACATGCTGGACAGGTCGCAAGTCCATCACAGGGACACATGACAGACACTCACTCACCTAGAATTTCTAGTTACCAACTAACCCAACGTGCATGTTTTTGGTCTGTGGGAGGAAACCGGAGTACACGGAGAAAACCCTCACATGCATGATAACTCAGTGAGGGAGTAGAGTTCCTGTTGGGGGTACAGCATCTACCCCCAACAGGAACTCTACTCCCTCACTGAGTAGAGTTCCTGTTGGGGGTACAGCATCTGTCTAAAAGACGATCTGTCCATCATTTATTGAAGAAGTACCTTCATGTTGAGGTTGTCTGTTTACATCAAGACCAGACGTGTAAAAGATGCCAATTTGACAAACAGAAGCAACAATTATTTAGCTTCAGTCTTGTTTCTGCAGAAACTGGAGTATCTCGTCTTTGAAGCCGGTAACATGATTTTTTTTTTTTTTTTTTTGGTTAACGGAGGACAGGTTTGAACTGTAGAGAACGTTTAGCTGACTGTAGATGAATCGCCGGACCTTTCGGTGCACAGCTTCTTGTTTTTGGGACCCTCCAGCTCAGTCTGCCTGCTGTGCTTCTCGATGCAACCATCTGAAACAACAACAACTAATGTGAGCTCACCCAGCTACCTAACAAAAAATATTTGTTGTTTTTTTACAAATGCATAATCAGAGATGCATGATGTGACTTACTGGCAACGTGAGGTGATGGTCCTGAGGAAACCGAGGGACTTTTTTGCCACTGTGACAAAAAAAAGTCAAATTTTGAGCATTTATGGTCAATTGTTCTGTGCTAATATGAAACATTACTTGTGAAGCTCACTATGAACTTGCTGATGTCCCTCAGGCTTCCGAATCTCAGGTAGGAAATATCCCCCTTGTCTTTGTCCTGGTCCTGGTCTGAGGTGTAGATGTGTGTGACGCCCGCTCCTCTGATCAGAGGGACGCACTCGTCACAGGGACATTTGGTCACAAACAGCGTGGTGACCTCATCTGGTTTGATGTCTCGCGTCCTRAAAAGCAGCAGTTGGAACGCTCGTGTCAGACGGGTGAGACTCGACGCACCGGTGGTTGTTTTAAATGTACAAACGAGCAGACCTGAAGGTAAGGGCGTTCTGCTCCGCGTGGACGATGTATCTGTATTTGCGCCTCTGGCGGTCCTCCTGCTTGTTGTCCATCTGYGGGTACTCGGCGTACTTTGAGCCGGCAGGGTAGGCGTTGAACCCGCAACCGACCAAAAACTGACACYCTGTCCCACAGCAGGCAGCCTAGGACAAATGAGACTGTTAAAACTTGACAGAAACAGCGTTAAAACAGCTGTACATTACAGAGCAGCAGAACACTCGAGAGGAGGTGAAAAATTATTCTTTGATCTTATAATTAAAATCAAAACAAAAATATGAAAAGGAGATATTACCGTCCGCCCAGTTGCCCAGATAACAGCACCCACTCCCACTTTTGGATCCTCTAGAATCAAAGGGGAAAAAAAACGTACCAAATTAAAAATACTGTTTTTAGCCTGTTCCCAAAAACAAACTCCTACAAGCTGACATCTGTTACCTTTAAGTCATCAAGATGTTAGATAAATATTTATCCATTTAACTGAGCTTATACTTATTTGTTAATCCAWCTGATTTTCATCACGACTTACTGTTCATTTTTAGCTAAAAATAGGAGTTTTCAAACGTATTGTGCCRTCTGATGGGTAACAGAATGTGACCAGTTAAATCAAACCCTGTGGGAATTATTCTGGGGTGAAACAAGCAGACCTGTCCTGTAGGCCAGCAGCCTGGCCTGGATGATGCAGTGACGAGCCACATCTTGAGACACGGGCCCAGGCTGGGGTCGCAGTGAGGCTGCGGACTGTTCTCTGTATCCGAGACACAACACAATCAGTGACAAACTACTGTGGATAACTAAAGCATAAAAATACACAAAGGTTTGGCTAAATTAAAAAAAAATGAATAAGCAAGTGTTTTCAACCTGTAGAAGCCATAGTGGTGCTGTGGCACCCCAGCAGCCACYCCAGCCAGAACCTCAACCAGGTCCATCATGTTGCTCCTCAGGCTGGAGAAGTAGGGCTCTACGCAGAAGTTCTCCAGGCTCATCTGAATCAAAATGTCTTTGTGCTGCTGAGACGTTTCTACCAGGAACTGTTTGGAGAAACCTCGGAGATGTCTTAAGCGTTCTCTGAGTAGCAAAACAATGTCAAATGCTTAAATAAAATGAAGCCTCTAAATGAGGTTTTTCACAACTCTGTTTTATTCACGCACTCTCCAGATAGGGTTCTTAATGCAGTGTACCAAACAAAATGTAGATAGAGAATTCAGTGKTTTTTTTTTAAATAACTACATCTCCATTCATGTTGGATTTAGCCTCACTAACAGGTCAATTACAAAAATTACACCCAAAAAATTACACATAAACACCTTAATTGAGCTGACTTTTAAAGGGGGTATTGTGTATTTTCCGGGCACATAGTTCAGTTCTATACTGCAATCAAGTCACTATGTTACCTTCAGTTGTTGTGAAAAAGCTGAATTTATCAAAAATAAATTTGATTTTGGATCATAGTTGATCTAAATGCCTTGAACTTGGCCTCTGTCTCTTTAGGAACCTCCTACCATTTCCAACACTCCCATTTCAGCACGTCTCCAGGGAGGTGCTAAATAGGAAGCTCCACATGGCTACCACAGGAGATTCAAGGATTTCTCACACATGCATGAATGAGTCAAAGCAACACTCTGGGTACGTTTTTGATGAGGGGATGACATAACATGTTATAAAACTTAAAAAGCTGATTTTGCAAAATAGTCCCCTTTAAAGGAGCACAAACAGACTGTATCACCAACTAGTGGTTGTAGATTACAATCGGGTTATAAATCCTCAATCCCAAATGTTTTACTGATCTGTGTAAAACTACAAAAACTAAATGTAATCTCCTCGCTCAGACAAAAATATAAATGTTTTATGTTATACAGTATTGTGACAAAAACAACCAAATTATTCTCAAAATGAATCTTGAAAGCTTTTTTTTCTGCTTGGCCTTCAGAGGAGCAGGACGTGCTTTTGCTCTCTGTGCCCC